GATCTTAGTTTTAGATCAGCTGCGGCAATACAAATTCCTTGTAATCGAGATAGACCCGTTCGGGTCTAGGCGATATTAACTAAAAAATTATGACGATAAGAATGTGTGCTACATTGTTTCAGAGAGGAGCTCGCATAAAATATTTTCCAATAAATTGGTTTTCTATAGCTATGTACCTACCCTTCTCAGTGTGTATTAGTTATATGTAATAAAGTTCAGTGTTTAAATGGAGTATGCTGCTAACAAAGAAATTAAGAACAAAGACTTCGTTGTTCATTTCTAATATTTTAAAATGACTATTATTATAATTAACATTTCTATTTTTGATAGCGATTTGATAGCAGTTTAAGACAAACTAACTGTTACCCACAATTTATTGATAAAAGCTATCTTAGGCAATATTTTCAGATGTAATAACTATACTTGCACATTTGCGAGGTTTCGTTTTCATTCGTTGAGAGCGTATGATCTCAACCTTGTTAAGACTCGTTGATAACTATAATTTTTTTGGAATGAAATTAATTTACTATTATTCCAACCTCGTTTTATTAATGTTTAAACTTGTTTGTTTTAATCAAATCCATAAATAAACGACCACCTAAAACTGCAGAATAGTATAATACATTCTTTCCTGATTTATTGTTACTTTGGGCAACAATGATAAACTAAGAACGATGTTAGGTGTGTTGCCTATTAGTCCGAAGTATGGGAGTGGTGGGTCAAGGTCATACTCGACACCTGTTATTTATTAGATTTGTTTCGATCACGGATAATCTTGTTACTGCTGACCCATTCGGTTTGCCCTCGTTAAAGACTACGAATGGAGGGTTCAAAATGTTCAGGAAGAGCTATTACAGATTTGATGGTTCACGTAATGGTGGTAAAAATTAAAAGAACAAGCCTACGTTTGCTAGGTTTGACAATATGATTTCGCTCCTGATTAATGTAAAACAATAGCAAGCAGAAAAATAGAACCAATTTCATCGATCGAACCAATCGTTTTTTTTTTACAATATTGTATTTTCTCAGTATTAACTATTAAAACAAAATTTGTTTAATTGTGTTTGTGGAGTCACAGTACTTACTTAGAATAATGACACTATAAAAAAGGGAAAAATTGAAAGAAAAGCGATGACTATCTTTTAGTTATCATTATAAAAGATTCAGTTCGCCAATTTATCTATAAATAATGATACACTTAGACATCAATTTCCATTTTATTAACAACCTACTAGAAATTATGTAAAATGATCTAACACTTTTTAATTTAATTTTATAGGGACAGAAATAATTTGATCCCTGTTCTAAAATACGTTTTCCGCTAGCGTAAATTACTGCAGGATTTAGCAGTGATGACAAAGATAGATTCAATTACAATATGCGCCCGTGATTGATGAGTTTTCAGATAGTAAATCCAGTAAATATTATTTTCATTTCGGTTATTATAGGATGCTGAAATCATTCTTCTAGGTTCTCTCAGCAACTTTTCAAACTGAGATGCGGTATGTTTTGCTGGCGTGAGTTATATGGCAAAATATTTTGATGAGCGGTTTGTACCCTCGTCTTTAAACTGCCTTAGGTACAGGCATTTTAGCAAATGAGGTGTCAAACCGTTTGACCCAAGTCAATAGCGAAATAGAGTTAATTATATTTATGTGTTGCCAATAAGTATGAACCAGTGACAGGCAGCTATTGATATTTGAACTAGTTTGGTATGATCAGGGTAAGGTACTACAAGCACTATCTAGAGCAAATATATAGCTAGAGTAACTTACCTCAAAAAGTAACCTACCCAATAAAAAAAAAGCCTGAAATCGAATAAATGAAAGTTGTTTTACATTTTTTTAAAGGAAACAAATTAAATTGTATTAATTAAGATAACTAAACTGACATAAACTTATGTAAATGTTTTTAATAGTAAAAATACTTCTACATTATTAATTCCTTATTATAGTAGTCATTGGGGAACTCTCTATAAAGATGGTTGAAAAGATTGAAGAGTAAATAGGTAAGATAATGTTTAAATATTATCAAAAATAAACACGTTTACGCCATATATGTAAATAGGAATAGAACATATGGAAATAGTATTGAAAACAAGCTTACCTACTTCTCCTTGATTTATGGATGGGATAAATGTTACAGAGTTCTGAAACACGGCATCATCATCAACAGCCTTTAATAGTTCACTGCTGGACATAGGCCTCTCCTTAGAAAGGAGGTTTTGGCTTACTAGAACCTAGAAGGAGGTTTGGCCTGGAACACGTATCCTTTCAATATATACATACTTCTCATAGCACCGAGGTGTGATCACATGGTAATTTAAGCACGCCTATACCTGACCATAGAGAAGAAAAGTGTTGTAAGAAAACATATAAAAAGCGTTGTTTTCGCAAGTTATCACGTTTTTATGCAACATTTTATGAATTTTACGTCAATTTTAATAATGTTATTTTTATGCGGGTGTTTCTGAGAAATCTATCTTAATAATGCAAAATAATATTAACATATACGCACGTGCTACACAACTGCTATGTTCACCCACTCTTACATACTCGTTAAAGTTTTCATAACCGTAAATTTAAAACGTGTCAGCGTCGCTGTCTCCAAATAGGAATGTTTATGCCACATTTATACGAATATTAATGCAGTTATTATCGCGCACATTAAATGGTAACTATATTTTTTTTAATGTTTTGTTTCTATATCATAGTTTTCTATAGTTAGTTGATTAATTGTAACGTAATTGGTATTTGTATTAATGGTGGGCTCCGGTTACCGCATTTAGACTCAAGAACGGTCTTTATGTGTCGAGGAAAGATTGGCTACTGGTCAACCAAGCTCCTTCCAGAAGCGAGGCATTCACAGGCTTCTATTAGCGATTTTGTATAAAGTTCTTAAGTTGTTTATTTATGGTGCCTTAGCGATAAATCATAGGTCATTGGGAGTAAGATTTCCAGTGGTGTGTCTTTGAAACTGTGATCCTATGATCACGGTTTCAAAGACGCACCATTGGGAACTTCCGTTCATGTATGTTTCTAAAGTCAAGACACAGGATATACTACCATTGCGGGAGGTGTCTTTAAAAAAAAGAAAGAATAGAACTATGTACGAATAAAATTTTATACCTTAATTACTAAATTTACTTGGTTAAGACAATAAACTGCTACACACCTTTAGTAAGTGTTTTGAGGTTCAGTTTTGTATAATAATGTGAATCAGTGAACTCAGTCCTAATAGTGCAGATAAAAAGAAACACAAATTGTTCGAAATTCACAGTTCATGAAATTGATCGGTGTTCCCGTGGGCTGAAGGGCACGGGGCGGCTATTGTTTGCATCTTTTGTTTGTTCCCATGCTAGATCCGGTAATAACGCTCCAGCATTAAAATTCGGGTCAGGTTGTTGACACAAATTTATGAGGGCTATTAGAAGGGTAGCCTTGATTGTGCGTTACACGTAACATATAGAAATATGAAAATAAGTTTATTACATCACAACACAAAGCAGCGTTTCACGACTAGATTGTTTTAGAAAAATGATTGTATACCGAATAGTTTATTAGTAATAACAGTGATCATTATTGAAGTACTTTATTATAATGTTATAGTTATACTCGGTATTATTATAAAATTGTGTTTAAAAAAATGTAATACTAAAAACTTGAATAAAGCATTGTAGGCATTTTACTTTGAAACAAATTTTGTAAATATTCACCTTAAAGTAGAAAAGTATGGAAAACTTTTGAATGAATATTAAAATTAATTTATGTAAGAAAGTTTGTCTTAAAGACTTGTATATTACTCTTTCTGTTGGGAACTATAGAAATATTGGGAATACAAAAAATACACGTCATCACTTCTTTGGCAGTTCTTAGGTATTGGAAGTAAAATTTACTGACAAATTGATTGAATTTGAATGATTGAAGAATACACTCAATTAATTACTGCCTAATCAAATATAGAAAACGTAACCTAGTTTATGCACTTTATACATAGCACACATTAGTTCATAAGATATTTAATTGACACTTACTTTAAGGTAGGAGAAATTAACTATTCTAAAAGCAGCTATAAAGCCTTAGGCCAACTGCAAAAATCTTTATTTTTGTCACTGGTGGTGTCAACTTTAAATTAAGAAGTGACAGAAATCCACCTTTTATAATAGTTACTAACATTTATAGTCTAGCCAGTATTCAATTTAGCCGATTATATGGCACGCCCTTAAATACACAATAGAGATATCGGAGAGATTTATAGGTCACGCAAGCCTTGATTAAAACCCCTTTGAATGGTTACATGTGAGCGGGAATTTAATCCTTCGGCTTTCCATTTATACGTTTTACGTTATTAATTTGGTATTAGAACTTGCAAATTTTGTGACTTATGTAAGAGCTGATATTTAAGGAATATTTCTTTTAACCCTGCTTGTACATAATTCTATATTATGCATTTATCTATCGATAATATATGTAAACATATACGTATATCACGGTTAATTATATGAAGTGAGTAAGTGAATTGTATATACATATAGAAACAAGTAATTTCACGCCTCGAGTGTGGCCACGGTGTTTGCCTAGCTTGAACACATTAACAACTTAAAGGTATACCTAACTTTAAGTTTACTTTCGACAAAAGGAGACGTCATTATTAAAGGACTTAGGCTTTAATTAAATAGCTAAGGAACTATTTTGCTGAATTGGCTGACATGAACGAAAACTATTCTCTCATCCAATTTTCATGTAAATTTATGTTCACACTTTCCGAAGTTAATAAAATTAAAGTACGTTTTAATTGATGTATAGTAACATCTTCGTTACACTGCATCCCTTTTACCAATAGAACTTTTTTAATTGCCTTTGATGTGTATTTTCAATTGAGCTTAAACAAAATGGAGAGCCTTGGAGAGCCAAATGGGGCATTTGGCTCTCCAAGGCTCTCCATTTTTTTAATTGAGACATGTTGGCTTTAAACAAGTTTTCTTTGTATGTAAATGAGATTTAGCAACTAACCTGCAGCGCGCGCCTCTTTACAGGCGAGAACCATACTGTGGCGTACGTCCGGGTTGTCGTCGGCGATGGTCTCCCCGACAGCAACAAAGCGCTCAACGGCGCAACAGACTGCAGCGCCCACACGCTGCACTGCCGCACCACCTGCTGCTGCTTCGCCCCGCGATGAAACCAGACTGCTGATCTGTTACATAACATTTTAAGTTTTATTTTTGTATTCTTTTAATTTTTTGGAAATGTTAGTGACGTTTATTAGAAAATTTACAGTTCACGTGTGTATGGTTGGGATGATGGACTAGTTTCGGAACCTGAGAGATAGACAGTAGCTTGAAGGTAGCCCCTCAACCAGTCTCTGAGAAGTCGCCGTCGGATCGAAACAGATACGTGGGTAAAACTGTATATAGGCGTTAAAAAAAACCGGTCAGGTAAGAGTCGAACTCGTGCGCCGAGGGTTCCGTACCTACCCAGATTTTACGTAGATTTTAACGAAAACTTTTAAATACCAAAATTTATCTTAATTTTCAACTTTTTTTATTTTTTGGAATTATTCCTTTATTTGTGCTGTAAGACGTTTCTTTTTGCCAAATTTCGTGATTCTAGGTCAACGGGAACTAACATATATGTAGGTTTTCGACCCAAAACCTATAGGGTACTTCCGGTTGACATAGAATTGTCAATTTTGGTTAAAAGCAAGGACTTACAGCACAAGTAAAGAGAAAATTCTGAAAAATAAAAAAAGTTGAAAATTAAGGTAAATTTTGGTACTTAAAAGTTTTCGCGAAAATTGAAATTTGCCCATTTCTTTTCATCGTGTTGACTCAGGACCTTAATTTTTATACACCTAATAGAGACCATAGACCTCAGTATTTGGTATAAATTTCTAGGTCTTGCTAGGTCTACCCGTTCCTGAGAAAATCGGTGGTGACACACGGACAGACGGACAGACGGACAAGAAAGTGATTTATAAGGGTTCCTTTTTTACCTTTTGAGGTACGGAACCCTAAAAATAGGTTCTAGTCACGAAAATTGTTAATGTAATAACTATACTTGTAACTTGATGTTCAATTGTCTATATTGGTTTTGATACCTAACTTAAATTAGGATTATGTTATGAAATACAACAAACTTAACATTTTGTTAGATATGTCTAACGAAATGTTGTCGCAGCTAAATCATATACGAGTAAAATTTGCCATTATTCTTTGCATTCAACTCGACTTCGGCTGACGGGGAAACGTTCCGCCGACCATACCACGGTGCCAGACCTTTTTTTTTTTTTTTTTTTACGCGGGGAATGCTTTTCGCACCATACCCTCCGTTGGGGAAACGTAGGGCGTGTGTGGGACTCCCGGAGAACCGGTCTACCCACTAATCCCCGCGGCGGCCTACCTCGGCAGTCGGGAGGAGCTCCAGGAACGCATCGGCGACTTCTGGAGTCCTCCCTGCCGTACCTCATGTCTGAGGCACATCCCGGAGTGATCGAAGTCACCCTGGGGCAGGACGCTACCGCGCCTCTCACTGTTCTACAGAGTAAAAGGCGCAACAGCATCCCGCCTTAGACGACAGCCCCCGGCCGCACCGGAGTGTCATCTGTCTCGGGTCGTTTACAGCGGTCACATCGCCCCAAGATGTGGCCGCAGCGACCCTGAGGCGGCGATTGGGGAGTTAGCGACCTCTGCCACGTCCCCTTCGCCGCCTCCTTCGAGCGGGATCGGCCCTCTCCCGATCCCGCTCTGCGGCCTCCTTTTGGAGCATAACGTTCTCGCAGAAGGAGACCGCGGCTGCCCATCCCTCGCCACTCGCCAGCATTGCCGCGATTAATGCTGGCGGTGACAGGTTTCGTCCGATCTGTCCGACCAGGACTCGACGTTCGGACTCCCATGCAGGGCAGTCCTCCAGAGTATGCTGGGCGGAGTCCCGGTCGGACCCGCAATGGTGGCATTGTGCCGTGGCCTCCCGTCCAATTCGATTCAGATACTCACCGAAGCAACCGTGCCCGGTAAGCATCTGAGTCAATCGGTAGGTGACACAGTCGTTCCTCCCTACCCACGCTTCGAAGCTCGGCAGAACGGCTCCGACGGCGCGTTGGCTGGCACAGCCCTGGATTACAAGCCGTGCCTGCCACGCTCGCAGAGCCTGGGTATGCGCGTTCCGCCGTAGCATTCCGGGCTCATGATCCGGCGCGGCCTCCTCACCATTCCGACCGACAGAACGGACTTGGTCATAGACCATCGCGTCCATGTCGGCCAGAATGTCGAAGGGTGGATATCGCGCCAGGACCGTCGCCGCCTCAAACGAGATGGTACGATAACCCCGTACGACCCGTATGGCCATCAACCGCTGTAGGCTTCTGAGTAGAGCCTTGCAGCGGGAGGCACCCGCCAAGTCATTAGACCAGACGGGCGCCCCATAGAGGACCATGGATCGCACGACCCCCATATAGAGACGGCGAACTTCTTCCCGTGGTCCCCCGAGATTGGGCAGCAGGCGATGCAGTGCACCCGCTACCCCGCGCACTCGGGGGACTGATCGCACGAAATGCTCTTCGAAGCGCCACCGACTGTCCAGGATGAGGCCTAAGTACTTCATGTACCGGCCCACCTGGACTTCAGCGTCACCCACCCGGAGGCATGAGCTGGGTGGTTCCTGGCGCTTACGTAGGCCATGGAACCATATCGCCTCAGTTTTCTGAGGCGCCACCTTCAACGGTGCCAGACCTGTATGCCGAAAATCTAGTTTACTCAAAAATCAGAGCGTTCACTCTTTTCCCTCGACATCCATAAGTCGAGTGGGCCCGATGGATTTTCTCCTATCGTGTTGAAGATGTGTGCTCCAGAGTTGGCACCGGTTTTTTGTACTCTCCCTGTCCCTAACTCCTGGAAGGTAGCGTTGTGCACCCAATCCCTAAAAGGTGACCGCTCTGACCCGTCCAACTACAGGCCTAAAGCGTAAACTCCCTTGTTCTCTAAGATTATGGAATCCATAATCAACTGCCAGCTCCTCCGGTACTTAGATGATCACCAGCTACTCAATGATCTCTGGTGATCTGGTCATATTTCTAACACACCGGTTGGCACAGGTAATCGAGATCGAGTTAAAGGCTTGTGGGGTTAGTTTGGACATAGCGAAGGACTTCGATCGGGTCTGGCATAAGACGCTTCTCTCGAAACTCTCCTCCTATTGGCTTCCCGAGAAATTATGTAACTGGGTCACCAGTTTCCTTGCGGACAGAAGCGTTGTCGACGGTGCATGCTCCGCTTCAAATCTGTATGCTATCACATACTGATTCTACTGCATATCAATGACATGTTGCAAACTACTAGCATCTATTGCTATTAGTACGATGATACTACGGGAGATGCCCTTTATACCGGCCGCCTTAGTTTTTCTCGGGAAAACGTCATCGAGAGTCAAAATAAACTTGTTCCTGAAATTTTACCTCCTTAGCTGAGGTTTCAGAATGGGGCGACTAAATATAGTTCACTTTAACCACTTTTAAAATCATAGGTTTACGCGTTCACCGCATAGAAGATACCGTTTGTCGTATAACTTTTATTTGAGAGCACCTTCCTAACTGCCAAAGCCAGTATCGAAATCCTAGTCATCGACAAATCGAGCGAAGTCCAGTTTCGGGGTTACTAAGAGGGTAAGATCAACTTGGCTTCAAAGAAGCTCAGTGTGCTGAATAGATCGAGGTAGTATTTCACTCCGGGCCCACCGCCTTTAGCTCTATAAGACGCAAGTCCAGCCGCATATGGAATACTGCTCTCATCTTTATTTAGGGGCTCTAGACCGTATCCAACGAAGAGCGACTCGAATCGTCGATAGCGCAAAGATCTCCGATGTATTTCCGGACCGATACGATTTTTAAGAAAAGAGCGTACTCCTTCCTAAAAAGCCGGCATCGCGTTTGTGACTTCTGAGTTGCAGGCGTTCATGGGCGGCTGTAGTCACTTTTCATCAGGTGACCCGTCTGCTCGTTTGCCCCCTCTTACCTAAAAAAATCAAAGCTTCCTGAGAACAAATGAGTTCTAAAATAGAAATATAAAGTATCGAAAAAAAAAAGGAAACTAAGAAGAACTGACTCTAAACTGAGCGAAACCTTACCATTCGTTTTTTAAAGATGAAAATGAAAATTGCCCCGCAGTGCGGTTTGTATCTAATGATTGTTGCAAAAAGTTATTTAAATTGGAAACTGTGTCAAGTATTATGCTATTCGTTTTCGAACAGTATAGGTACATGAAATAATTGTTTTGTTAAATGACAACGTTTAAATAAATCGCTGCTCCATTAGTTGCTATTAAAACAGTTGAATGTGTAAACTTAAAAAAACGTTATTATCTTAAAAGATCTGTCTGATTGTTTTTTTTTTTTAGACTTTTCTTTAATTAGTTTGTTACACCGAAAGAGCCGTTAAAATCGCTGTTGAAGTACACCACTCTTTTTATAGGCTTATAACTTTGAAATCCGTTTTCATTGTACCATTTTACTCACAAAGATAAGCCAAATGGACTTATTATTTAGTTTAATGTTACATTTAGCTTTCTAAAGTTTATGCGCAAAAAGTTCTGAGGTAACAAAAATAAAAAAAAATAAAAAAAATACAGTCGAATTGAGAACCTCCTCCTTTTTTTGAAGTCGGTTAAAAATATCTATTCGCACACCGTCATCGTTTGTATTTGATGCTTTAAAGAACAAGACCTGAAAAATTCGATGTCAAATAAAATGATTTTTGGTTATGATGACGTAATACTAGTACTATCGCAATCTTAATCAATCATTAATCATCCTAACGGTCTTGTCTTGTTCATTAATGTCTTTCTAGGAGGCGTCTCTGCTTATCGCAGCGGTATTTGTTGGTAACACTTCTAATCAATCATGAAGACATCTTCAGAGATGAATATTTGCAGTAGTGGGTAATAATATATAGCAAAACCTCCTTTCTATAGAGAGGCTAAAGGCTGTGGATGATAAATAGACTTATAATTACTATTAAAATTAAAGGTTTTTTAATTCCATATTTCTTTCTACCAAAGATCCGCGACGAGAAAAAGTAAACAAAATAATAAATGAACGAAGAATGTGAATATATAATATATCGCTTGAGATCAGAAGTATGGTTAACGGGATCGAATCACTACAGCGCGATCTTACACATGAGCTCTGAACTGGTTTATCAGTCGATCAAATATATTTATGATTCGTCAAATAGTGGTTTAATCTCCTATATAACAATGGGGAATTGTTAATTTTCAAACTTCAAATTAAAAGTTACTAACAAGGGTGCTCGTGGCTAAGTGGTAACCGAGTAGTTAAACATATTGCAAAGTACAGCAATCTTAGACAGGTCAGTCTATGGATGGCTGACCATTTCCTAACAGATTGAGATCCCTCTGTGCCTCGGAGAGCATGTTAAGCCGTCGGTCCCGGTTGTTGCAATCGTTACGGGTAGTTGGAGCCCGTAAATGTCCGGAAACAGTCTTTCTACAGAACTTCAATATCGCCTACTTGAGTTGATGGTAGTCGTTCTGCGTAAAAAAATGAAGTTCAGCCGTAGCTTGTAGACTTAAAACCTAGTTTAGGAAAAGGGATCGGAGGAAGGACGCCCTTTCCCTTATTTTACATACTTGTTAGTAGCTACGTCTACTGCCACCTATTTTGGGAAAAAGGCTTAGAGGAAGGAAGAAGTTATGAATATAATAAAAGAAAAGGGTATTTGAAAAATCAGCTGGTCTGTGTTTTATACGCTTGCATTTATAAATGAAACATATTTTTTATAGCACAGGTGGTGGGCGAGCAGACGGGTCTGCTTTATCACCGATCGGACGTTCAGAAACTTTATGTAAAATAATCCTTTAAAAGTGAATTTTAAACGAGAAAAAATAATATTTTAATCAAAGTTGCAGTGTGGAAAAGAAAATTGAAGAAAATAATGTAATAGACAGAGTATAAATATCGTTTAACAACTCGGCTAATACAGTGTGTCTACAGTAAACACTCTTCGGTGGACTGACATATTACGTCAGACTCAATAGATAGTAGTTGCTTATTATTAGGCGAATTATGTGCGTAATTTTAGTGTTCATAAAAATTATCTACTGTGTAATTAATAGCCATACCATCGTCGAGTGGTAACAGCATTCAGGGTAATCTATACTCCCCATTTTCAGTAGAAAATGTTTGATATAATAATCGTCAAACTACGTAACGGTTTATATTATGTGTTGATATACTCTCGTCAATCAACTATTTATAAGTGTTCTTTAGAAGAATTGTTCAAGTGATGTGTTTCTTCGTTTCTAATTCGTTTCTTTTTAACAAACTGCTGTTTTCTGCAATTTGTTAGTTAGTTTTCTGACTTAAACCTGAATGCAATCGAAACAAGTAACTAAACTATTTGTCTAACTTTAACTGAACTACAAAAGATAAAATTGTAAAATTAACTTAAATTTTACAATAAGTTTCTAATACGTACATTTTTAATTCATCATAAAACTTATTACGTTAGATCCCGTTTCTAACTAAACCCAAACTGTTTTATTTTAATAGTGATTATAGACTGTTAAGATATCTGGTATGGTATGTATAAGATAATTTATAAAAATCAATAACATAACAGATAAAACAGACGCACAAAGTTGTCTCTTACTGTCTTCTGCTTTTTATTATGTACTAGCTTTTGCCCGCGTTTCCACCCGCGTGTATATCGGTTACCTCAGTAAAAAGTAGCCTACGTTACTCGGTGACAATGTAGCTTTCCATTGGTGAAAAAATTTTGAAGAAATTTTAAAATCGGTTAAGTGGCTTAGGCATGAAAGTGTAAAGAACAAACAAACTCACTTACACGTTCATAATGCAAGTCTCAATGTTTTTCTAAGTTTCACTTAATCAACGTTTAAGTAAAGTTTGAATACGCTAAAAAAATCTCAATCTTAGTCTGTAATAAGCCCACTATTCTGTAATTTACTGCTTTTGCATTTTTTTGTATATACCTATAAGCAAAGATAATAAAAACTTGATCTACGAGGAGTCTATAAAAGTTATCTTTATTGTGCTGGACTAAAAATGATGTCTTATTTGTAATTGGTAGATTACAAAGGCCATTCCGCTTAACTATAGCTATGTTCATAAAGCGAATTTAGTGGCACTCAGTATACGACTCAGTATATGTACGAGTACGATATGAACAATTGTCATTCTTACTTTTCATGTTGCAAGATATTCCCTGTCCTTTTATTCGGCAATATTCAACATCTAAAACAGATTTGTACAAAAAATCACGAGATGGAGAAATAAAATTAAAATTGTACAAACATTCAGTGATTTGGCTTTGCCATCGATTAATCCTCACAAGTTATTTTTAGGTCCTTTTGCCTACCAACACGTACTTGACCAAATAACTAAAATGTTACGTCAATCAATGTAAACTAATAATATTTTTAGTATTAACATGAAGTCTACAATATAATAATCACATCGCAATTTTTGCACAATTGGATAACTACCGTAAGTATCCAACATTTTACCTTGTTAAATAAAGGGTGCAGTAATATTGCAAATACCGGCAAACACGCAACATTTTGATGTCTGTGTAGGATAAACAGCCTCCTATGGCAAATATAACATCTAAAAAGGCAAAACAATTATTCCACCGACACAACTTTTAAGCGTTTGCAAGCAATGTGAATTAATTTATTTGCTCTGACAAAAACCGCTTGAAGATAACCATTTTCTGTCCTGATTAAAATTATTTATAATTCTTGAATGGTAATAATATATAAATTGAAGTGTATTGAAGTATTTTTAGTTCATTTTAACTACTTGACAATTGTTATCAAGCATTTCATTTCAGTTTATTTTAGAACCGAGCTCGAACGAGTCGAACGCTTTTTAGTGTTTGTTTATGCTCGTGACCTAGCTTCGACTATTCGAAATCTTCAGGCAATTTGTTACCATCTAAATAAATCTGTGCTAGCACTATAAAGCAGAAGAGTTTGTGTGTTTATTCGATTGCATTTTTTCGTTCACCTATCCCCATGTAAGTACTCCGAGTATTACCGATTTTATTTCAATTTGAAAATTTCACATATAAACAAAGAAAAAGTGCATTATACTCGTACAAAGAACTAATCGCGTAAATTTATCGTGTTTGAGACTGCATGGCTCCACTTGTAAAACATACCGGTTTTGCATTATTACATTATTCATTACGCCATATTATTTTTTCCATACCACTCAATATTATGGTAAAAGCACAGTTACCGACAACAAATAACAAAAAGATTTTAACAATGAACATAGTAATGCTAGGCCGTAAGCGAACGAGAAAAATATGTGAATAAATGCACATGTGTTTTACTACACGTACATTGTAAATTAGTAAGGCTTCTTGCATGCTGAATAGTGTTGTATTGTTTTATTTAGTCCGGTGTTGATTAATTATTAATAACGGATGAATAGAGTAACAAGATAAACTTCACCTAAGAGCTCATTTCTGCAAATGTCACAATATTGTGGAATTATCATTTTTAAATGGAAATCCGTATAAACTTAATTAAGTTTTATGATTACATTCATCATATATTTTATGTATATTATTCAGAACACGGTAAAGGGGTACGTGCCCAGTAAACTAATTTACGTTACGAGACTTCCAGTATCATTTATACACTTAAAATATCGTTGTCAGCTTTAATATAGATATATATTATAATGCCACAATACAGGCATTTAAGTATGTCGCTTAACTTTTATGAATAGGATAATCTGTGTATTATTTCCATCTCTTGCTATTACAAAATACGATGTCATTTTCTTTCTTGCATTACGTAAGCGTGTAGTGACAACTTGATTCAAATTCACGCTTACCGTTGTAGGTTTGAGGATGTGACTCGTATCAAAGCTTAGTGTTAAATATTGACGGGATAAACCGACGAAGTGGAAAATAATATTTAGATTCCTTACGATTTCGTCTACGTTGTTAACTGAAAATTCAAATAAGTTATGCAGCCTGATAATCAACTTTTATTTTGCATTTGTATCAAGTATATTATATTCTTAATTTATCTAAAATTCGCTCACAAAAAGTATTCAAACTTTCTATTTTTCTTTCAATACTAAGTAAAAATATTTCTATAAGCTGTAGTGGAAATGATGTAGGATTAAATTATCTTCATACAATAACAACCCCAGATATTCAACTAATCGCCTTTTAAAAGGTGGTTTGTATGTCGTCGTTGGCCGGGACGCGGGGCGAGACTCCGATCAAGGTCGTCCTTGCACGCGATCTTCGTCTCCACCCCGCGTTGTGGCCCGTTGTTACTTGTTGCGCTCCACGTATCTACATGATGGGGATCAGGCTTGTGCGTGCGACTGTCTTCCCCGAATGCACGAGGGTTGAACACGCATGTGTTTGGTACGCAACGTACCTGAGGCTCCCGGCGCGCATAATCATCGTCATCGGAGAGAGCGTCCATGTCGCCTGTGCGCGAGGCGCGCGGGCGGTGGGCGCGCGCTCGGCGGCGCGCAGTCCGCGGGCGCGCGCACGTGCTCCGTGGCGCTGGCGTGTCGCTGCGGCACCGCGCCGCTCCGCCCGCGTTCGCCGCGGCACTGACGGACCCAGCGCACATCGATCGCAGCTACCCGCCCGCCCCAGGCCTCACCACCCATCACCAATCCACGTGGCCGCCCGCCCCTCATACTTACTATACGATCAAACGTTTTCTATTAAACTGCCTATCTTTGTAATTCACTGTTTATTACCGAGTATTATGGTACGAAGTGGCAGGTGACAACATTCAGGCAATAGTATAAGTTATTAAACTTTCTGGTTAAATGTCTAGTGTTATTCATTCAAATAGAGGCGCGAGTAGTGAAGCCTTAAAGCGGCTGCGCGGGTCGAGATGCAACAGATTGTTGTCGTAGCCGCGAAATTTTAATCGCCATCGTCGCACCGCGACGTTTTTAAAATTACAGTCACTACGAAAATAAAGATACGGTTTTAGTCGCGTACGCAAATGTGGAAATTATCGTCGCCGTTGCCACCGACGTCAGAGAGGCGCCGGCGACGCGATCGGTCGGTATCAACGCGATGATACGTCACCAGGTCTGTTCGCGTAAAACTGTTGTTTGTATGGTGTCGGCGACGAGGTTTGAAAGTTCCATGCAGCGTGGCATACCTGCTTGATGAGGGGGAGCAGAGTTCTCTCGATGGAGCGCGTCTTTATCTGTGTTAGATCAACTAAGGGCAGCAGGCCGGCGGCCGCCATGGCTGGCGCGGGCGCGACTGCGCACCTGCGCGCGCATGCGGCGGTGTCGTGCCATTGGCCGATCGTATTCCGTCACGTGGAGCCCCCCGCTCCTCGCGCTACCGCCCGCCCAAACTCACATCGTAAACACAGGATTGCGTGTTTAGTTTTAACACATACTCTTGTGGGCTTTAAAAAACTACAGCTTTACGTGTTCTACTTTGTTTTGATTTAGAGCGCCAATTATATACGTCCACGTGCACGATTCACCTAGTTTTTTAGTTGTATCTGTTTACTGTGTTGCGGCTGTGGTTACCTTTGTTTCATTTGTACTTACTATTTCTTGTTACCAGGTACTGAAGCTTATCAAGGAATAAATGAAAATATTTAAGTAGATGAACAAACTTTATTTTATATCTTCGACCACCTACACAAACGACTAATTAACTTAACAATAATCATTGGCACGTTATCACAAAGGTTGTCAACGCTTTACAATTCGAAAAATGATGACATTTTATTCGTTACTCTTTGTAGCTGTGATGGCAATAACGAGTTTTTTTTAAATTACCTCTACTGTATGACCTTACATATAATTTCGACAGTATTAAGTAAACATAAGTAAATGATATAATAATACTGATAAATATTAAAAGATAAATACTTTTTACTGTTTCCATACATTTCTACAGTAAGAGTAACGATACCAAAAAATATCCCTTACAACTAATCTATGTGCAACACTTTGGTAATTGCTTTAATAAAATTGTAACAACATTGCTTGACGGATTGATATACATGATGATTGGTTTCAATTTGTGTTACTCGATAGCTACTATCTATATATTTTAAGGAGATTTATTCCAATGCAAGTCCAATGCAATGATACTCGCTTGGAAAGAGACAAGGGCCAGGTTCATTTGACCATTTTAGACAGTTGATTTTGTTGATCGGATTGATTTTTTAACAGAATTGTTTATAGGTATTTTATGTTTATTTTTTTTTTCGAATTTTGGACATTAAACTTTCGTCAAATCAGTTAAAACATTTAACGTATATGAACCCTTCATTTCAACTTTTTAAACTTTACAGTTATTCTGTTTATGATACACATAAAAAAACCAATTAGTTAGGTATTTAGGTTAATAGACTAAATAAATTGTGTTCCTAAAATATGTATTAATGATGGCAATGATACAAGCACAATCAACATTGTTTAAACACATAACTTTGTATTACAATGAACGTGGTTTAAATATTAACAGTTAGAAACTATAATATTGTAACGTATTTTATTTATATTAATAAGTTAATAGAGTACAAAGGTAGGTAAACATTTTCACGTCACACGTATACGCAACTTACACATACACTTGCATATTTACCCTTACGACTATAAGGTAAGTGGAGGTTCAGAGTACAGGCATTCACAGTGCACTCAGACCTGTCACAGAAGTAAGATGATTTACTGTTCCATGTCGACTTCGATAAATAAGGAAAAACTCTAATTTCAATTAAATCAAATTGTGGACTTGTGGGCTTATTCCTACCGACTTAAGTGAAGATTTCAAATATATAATTATTACAACACGCTTTTCCAAAAATGATATACTGTACTTGCATTAATTGTAAAATACTCCATTACTGATCTGGGGCCGACGTTTGTTCAACACTTCCTTAGAAATGGTGCTATCTTGTGAGCTATCCGACATCCAGGGACTCTGGCCTGAGGAGGTCCGAACTTTTCGTTTACGGAGACTCTCTGTAGGACCTAGTGTGGGTCTTAATAATTGCTTGAATCTAAAGGGTCCCTCATTGTAGTCATCGTCAGAGCTAAACACTGGAGTTGCAAGGATTTCTGGTGAATTCCGGAGGATCTTCCTCAGTTTAGACTCTGGATCGTAGGTGGGAGTGAATGCCGGCCGCGGTGGTAGTTCCGAATTCTGAGATTTTCTTACCAGTTCGTTGATTTTATCACTGTTGAAAAATATATAAAAGTTATTAAAATGTAAGTACTTTAACACACTAAAAAAAAACCTACGCTAAAGTCAAGCACACATCTTTTTAGAAAAGAACTTGAAATTAATGAATAGTTTTAAAATCTTTATGTTTGAAACCGCATACTGATATTGTAATATTCTAGTGTTGTAGTAGGCAGTACCTACTCAATTAATCGCTAAAATAAGCAAAAAAATATTTCTCTGATTGATTGATGAATTTTGAAATAGCATATTGTATTAATAATATTGAATTGCTATTGGAAACAGTTAGTTTCATTAAAACCAAGAATATACAATAAGCAATATTTGGTTTAAAATTTTTATTCGAGTGACAGAATTACCAGAATGTAAATAATCGCCTCACGCTAAAAAGCCAACCGTTTCCAACTGTATTTTCAATATCTCAATTGAAACAGTTCTGCAGTTCTTGATTTAAAACAATGAACTAGGCTTACATAAAAAAACGTAACCACAAAAATTTAAATGTGATCCATACCTATTGCCCCTGCTTTCCACGAGTAATACATGCGATAGAATGAAAGGGTTAGTAATAGTTACGGCCAAAATCTAGTTCCGTCGAAATGCCTGTCGTAAGAGTCGTACCTGACTAGGCCTCCGCACTGGCGGCTGCAAGGCGGGGGCTGCCTATTGTAGTGACCATTTTGATAATGCCTGTCATCGCGGTAGTCGTTGGCGTGACCGTTGCTAGTTGGTTGGTATCTAGACAGAATTGGAAGTACCACAGAAGTTAATTACCCAATATAAAGTTTTGCTTCACATATTACTTGGCAGATTTCAAGCTATTAAATAATAATATATTATTGAATTACGGCATTATTGGTATGTTTGATAATTAATTAATACTAACAGTCGTAGTAAAAATAATAATGTCACTGAAGTACATTTTGTCTATCCATAATTACGATCCAATGGAATTTATTGGAAAAGTGACCCCTAAAAAATGATTTCTCTCTATAAAAATCTCTAAATAATGTACGTTACATGTTATTTTATAGTGTGTTGAAAATATTCTCAAATCTGAAGTTCGACTTCGATTTCACTAATGTGTGTTAAAATCGAACTGACTCAAATAACTTTTAATTTGAGGTCACAGGTTAGCATTTGAAGAATATTTATCGTCGGCACCGATTACATTAATAGCCGCCGCTGTATATATTTCTGTGTTCTTACGAAATTACTAGTTATAGAAAACTATAAACACACCTGTAGGGTTTGATCTCAATATCTTGCCTATATATCAACGGTTCATCCCAAGGTCTAGCGGGACTTTCCAGGAACTCAGGCGATGGACTATATCAAAATCCATTTGAGAAAGCATGAAGGAAATACACTTTTTTTTAAATAAAAGTTTTTAGAATTTATTAATTCAGATATTTCAATGTGCTGTGGCTGGTACGTCATTACTCTACTTACCATAATGTGCATATTAAAAATAAAACAATTTATTTCTGCACATAATGTTAGGCAAATTTAAACCTCAGTAATCGGTTCACGTTTAATGTTAGTAGGCATGTTGTTCTTCGGAGTAGGGACCTCTGCTGGCAAATTAATTGCTGCGGAAGGGGATAGGATGGCGGCATTGTCGCAAAAATGCGAGCTGCGGCCTGCTTATAAATACATGAAGATTGGGCCGGCAGGTAGAGGGAAGCCTGTGGCTTCCCTCGGGATAGGCCCTGGCTAGGTGCGTCCATTCGAGGAGGCCTGAAATAACATGGTTCGGGTCCTCCCTAGAGTAGGATGCCTGAAACCGGACGTCGAGGTGGTTTTTAGTGGAAACACCACATACTTGCGACACCTGGATTTTCCACATCGTCCACAAACACAAAAAGAGTCATGTTGATCTAAGTTAACAAATATTCATGCTATTTTAATGTTACATAAAAAAAAGGTCATTAATCTGTATGTTGTTCTGTAAGTATTCGAATTACGCTCTCTGACCATTTATTGTAATTTCTCGTGATGTACTATTTTTTACATAGCCAGTAATAATATACACTCAATAAAGTTTAGAAATAGTACCTAGGTATTCCACTTTTCATTATGTACCACTAAAACATATGTGCATTAGATGCAGTTACACATATGCCTTAACATATGTTGACGTTTTGAGACATTAACTATATTAAGGTTTTTGTACAATATAGGACGAGTAAGGTACGCTTAAAATTTACCTCGACAGCCTGCTAGCTTCTTTCTCAAGTTGTGTGGGTTGTCCCCTAATAATCGCTGGTACCAAAGTGAAACCGGGCGGTTGTCGGTATTCGTCAGCTCGCTGCACAGCCTGCAATCTGATCCCTGGCTTATTACGACGTAGATTCTTGTGAACTTCTTGATTTTTATTGTGAACCTGAGAGATAAAAAAAAATCGCTAAAAAAAGAAAAGTGTACGTAGTGGAAACATTATAAAGTTTTAGTTTGAGTAAAAGTTTTGTTTTATTTGGAGTGACTATTGTTGGGGGCATTTATGGACTTGGAAATGAGCTAATAAATACGACCGAACAGTTATATTTTATTACCTTTCCATACAAATAATGGTAATATGTTATTATTATATGTTAATATATTTAGACTCGTTGCTGAAGGTTGTTTAAGACTATAAATATTAAATTTTAGGGCAAAACATTTCTTTTGAATCTTATAATACGTAGGTCAAATATATTAACATATAATTATAACATATTAAAGGTCAAAGCAAACAACGTCATTTTCTTTACTTGATAAGAGACGTGAAAACGAGGTTACTAAATAATGTCGGAAATATTGCAACATGACCTTTACATGACGCAAATTAACCTCGACTTGGCATGGCGACGATGAGCTGGCATTTACATACCTTTCGCCGTAAGTGAAATTTTACATGAAAATAGGTAATGTCCTTTTAATTTTCATGTTATTAAATGTCGTTTATTTTATTTTTTATTGTAGAATGGCGGACTTAATGCCACAGGCATTTTTCTCCCAATCTACCTTTGGTGGTGGTAATTTATGAATGGTATGAATACGGTTGTTAACATATAGGTTACCTGGTCAGAAAATGTGTGCAGTTGTGTGGCGCGCTCTTGCTGCGAGTACTGCTGCATTAGGAGTTGCGGTGAAGCGAGTGCGGGCTCCGTGGGCGGCGGTGGCGTACGCCCTTTCGACCACGCACGACGCGCCGTGTACCCTCGGTAATCTAATAATGATACAAGTTTTACCATAATTGTACAGACATAAAACTCATTCAGGTTCCATTTTTTTACCGATCCCATATAACAAATGGTCATATATCATATTGGAATACATTTATAAGTTTGGCAGGTTGTGTTGTAATGGGCACTTCCTGAAGTATTCTTTTAAATATATCGCAGATTAAGGTGTTTCAATGCAACGGTTTATTTAATCTGATGATGATGACATGCGTATGCATAAAGATGATTCTTTCAGCTTAAGCAAACACACTTGCGCATCGTGATACGCATGTGGCCACGGGTGTCACTATCAGTTGACTTGTATTCTGGTTTACCACCTATACCTAATACGTAAATTAGGGTGAGGAATACCGGGTAAGTCTCGGATAGGGTAAAGTGATTATCTTTGATGAAATTAAAACTAAACACATTTCTTAAAAAACTAAATTTAAACTTTGAACCAATCATTCTTTCATGGAATGCGTGAAAACTCAATTGAAACTTTTAAGCTTTCATCACAAAACATGAGATATTTTTTTCCAAACATCATAGAAATATTATACATAATTTTAAAAGTATCATTAAAATTAAAAAAAAAGAGTTTGTACTTCATATAAGTGGTATCTGACTACGTAATCAAACATTTTTTTATTGTATAATATATTTTACCCACAATTGTGATCTTGATTTCAAAATATGCAGAGACCTTTTGGCGGTATTTTATATCCAATTTTCTGACTTATGTTTAACTGAAACGGTAAACTCACGGCTTTGTATAACGACGGCAGCTCTGTTAGTGTCGATGTTTTCTTTGTTGGAGGAAGGTTCGCTGCTATCGCTGTCTTGTGACGTCATCCGCCTTAGTTCTTTCGCTTTCAACATAGCTTTGTTCTTGTTTGAGGCACCTGCAGTTAAAAGTTTATGTTAAATTTGTGGTTCACTGGATTTTGTCCTGGAAATCGTACTGTATCGTACTGTATACGTGTATCCTTCACTTTGTGAGTTCAGGTTGGGGTGGGGTCCAGCTATATTTAGGATAATTTTATGCTAATGCTGTAAATTATTGAACATAGCAGTTATCATAAATGAACCCAATAATATTTTAGTCCTGGTTTACGAAATCGTATGAGATATCGAAAAAGTAATTTTCACGACAGTATATGGCAACAGGTTTCTCGATTAAATTTTATTTCGGAATATTTACTTACCGGACTTGTGTTGTTTCCTCTGGCTGTCCTGCTCTCTCTGGAACTCTCTAGCGATTTGTTTCTGTCGTTCCTGCAGGCGTTTACGCGTAAGCCATCCGCGTACATGCTTCTGCAATGTCAACACGGAGATCGCCATTTGCAACTTTAACCTCTCATAGCGTCGCTTTCCCAACCAACCGCGGACGCAAGCTTGAACCAGAACTATTTTTCTTATCTGTAAATTACTTATTAGATTAATAAACGTAAGTCATTATGTAGCTTGTTAAAGTTTAAAATTTAAGATGACTGGCAACTTATTTTTATGTAACAACATAAAATAAATCATTATAAATAATAGACATAGCCTCCTTTTTGATCAGAAAGGAATATATAAGTTTTCAAATGAAAGTTTTGTCTCCATCTGCTCCGTTTGCAAGGTAGTAGAAGAAAAATTGATTGAGTTGGGCGCATATCACATTCTAACACCGTTGGTATTTTTTTTGTTGGGACATAATTTTTTTTTATATATAATATTCTAAACAGATACCGTTTTTTTATTAATATTAAAACAAGTTTATAGGAGCTAGGTATAGCTAGTAAAATGCTTTTTGGTGATTCAAATACTGACTGTACCTACTATTCTATTAACTGGTTTTAGGAGTTGGAATAGAAAATATAAATAATTTCAAGGAAATACAAGGAATGACAGATAGTAATTGTCATTGACATGGACACATTTGAAAAAGCGAAAACTGTCAATATCAATCTTTACTCATTATATGTTATCTGCTAATATTTTACCACGCTAGCCCACTGATCTATTACACCAGAAACAATGAAATGTTAGATAAAATATTGCTGGTACGTTTACTAAAATAATAGACCAGCGTGTATTAGTGCTTTTAAACACAAACTTTTAGTTGGTCTAGTGTACTCGTATATAGAGAGATCCTCACTGCTAAGCTAGAGGTCGTGGGTTCACTTCCTACTTCGTTTAAAGAGCACAAGACCATTTATACTGTGCCTAGGCATAGTTTATTTATAATGTATGTATATGTATATATATATATATATATATATATATATATATATATATATATATATATATATATATATATATATATATATATATATATATATACACCACCTTAGGATACGTAGTTGCTCAAATAAGCTGCAAATCATCATAAGTTGGCAGTATAATGCAACATGTTAAAGTTTTTTACATAAAATATTATACTTTGACATGTTAATATTTGTTCAATTTGGATTTTTTAATTGATGGTATCGATCGCCGAAAAATAGTCCAGATAACGTTTACATTGGAAAGTAATCACAGATTTAGCAGACTTAAAAAAAAAGATTAAGGTAGAACCTTATTCAATTCGATCATACCTTTTGTTATGAAATTGAATCTATTAAGTACGTAATATTCGTACATGACATATTAATGTAACACAACTTGTAACTTTGTGGTTACAAGTTTTGCGAACACAACATTACTGACAGTGACAAAATATTAGAATACATTACACATATAAACAAAGACAACAACCACAAAGTTAGATGTAAGCCGAACGTAGACATAGGTACATAAGTCGTTATGTAGATTATTCTATATATTCAAGTCAACTATTTATCTACATTATTTCCTAAATTAATCTATACATCTCACCTGTTCCTCATAGATTCTAGCTAAAAGTTCAACGTGGTAGTACTTGAGGAACACTTTAGACTTGCCGAGGGCCCAGCCATCCATTTTCAGTCTTAGTAATAAGCAGCGGGTTGAATCTCGGTTCGGTTTAATGTCTTCATCATAACTGAATGCTAGAAAACTATATCTGTAAAAAAGCAAAGTTCGTATAACTCTTTGCGTATGCGTAATAAGAAGACAACGACATAAAGACAACTTTAAAAAAATCAAAATTGTAGTCGGACTACTTATACCCCAATAAAAAAAAAAGTAAGTAAGTACTAGTAAAAAAAGTAAGTGTAAGTAATAAGTTTTCTGCTGCATAATTTAAAAAAATAATAAAGAAAAGCCAAACATAATATTAAGTTACTGAGAGAAAGAGAGAGTCAGTAAATATACTTGCCTTTTCAAAAACTCCTCAAATGCCAAACGGTGGGAAAACCCATTTTGTCTAATCCTAATAGTTTCTAAAACGCCGGTGTATCGAAGTTGTTTCAGTATTTTAGCAGAATCGAAATGTTTTGGAGAGCGGGAGTCGTTAGGCTTGAGACACCTCACAAACTGGGGAGTCCCGCTTACCATTTTCTGAAGCAATTCCATCAAAGAGTACCGGAAGTAGGTCGATACCGTTTGTTGTGCTCGAGATTGAGATGCGAGACCACGACTATTAAACCGCTCCTGAAAGGTAATTTTTATATGACATTTACATAGCTTTTTATATGTGTTTATTTTAGCCTTTTTATAACTTGTAAGTAATCTTGTTACTCAAACGATACATACTCGTATACTTATTTTTAAGTAAGTATTTCTGTTAACCCCTCCAGTACTACTCGACGACCACGTTATTATTTAAGTATCTTTATCAGCGGTGTGATTACCATAGTACAGGCGCTGCCTAGATTTTAATCTGACAGCCGTGTGTGAGATGTGTCAAGTTATTATTATTATTACTTACTCGAACATCATTTATTGGACTCTCTAAACTCCTATCCAAAACATCTCCGTGCAGCGGTGAATACAAATTACCAGTCTTAGTTATAGGACATTGAAACAAAAATCGGATAATATCGTGTTGACTTTGCCTCATCAACTGTACAACTTCAGGTGGCAGGAAGTTACGGTTCTTCTCTAGAAAACCTTCGGCCTGGTAAACTACTCGTCCAGCAAAATGGTGTACTGCAAAGCAAATGGCATCAGACTTCGGACGGACGTAGTATTTGCTCTTGATGTTATTGTGGAACTTCTCTGCAATAAGAGTTTACACATCAATATCAGTCGCTTGTTTTTATTTATATAAAATATTCCTTAGAATATAGGATAACATATAAGACAAAAAAAACATTAATCGAAACCGCTAATATACCTATTAAACTTCGATCTGAAGCTCTTGGGAAGCGACTTTCTTCGTCCAATAATGCCAACATCCCCATAGGCCTCGACAACAGCATATCTAAAACAGGCCTGTTGTCAGAGAACTCAACAAGATCGACCGGTATTCCTTCAGCCATGTACTCCTGTTGCTCCCAAGTGAAGATATGCTGATTGAAGTAGTATTGAATTTGTTCGTTGGCAATGTTTATACAAAGCTGTTCAAATGAATTTCTCGTGAAGTTTTCAAAGCCAAAAATATCCAGTATTCCGATTGACAGCTGTTCCCTGCAAAAAAACTTGAATTTATTGTGTGTAATTATACCTTTAAATTGCCTGAAGTGTTGAGCAGGTAGCACTTATCGTGATCACAAGCTATGTAATAACTGTTACATGATGTCATTGATTGTCATACAAACATAATCATATATCATGAAATAAAGAGGTCTAAGTTTGTGTGGATTTACTTTAGTTTCATTTTTTACCTGAAATCACCCACATTACATCACCAGCCTATAACAGTCAATTGCTGGACATAGGCCTCTCCTTAGAAAGGAGGTTTTGGCCTACTATACGGTTACTATAGGGTTTGGTTCAAGTTTTCTTTCTCATTGCAGTGCTGTTGCCCTACAGAAATTGCTCCCTCAGTCGGCTCTTACGACACCCACGAGATGAATAGAGGTGGTGACACTCCATTTTCTTAATCCGTCACCACACTGACGACTCAAAAGCTAAAATCACTCAAAAGCATAATTTCTTTAAAAACAGCTTTGCGGAAATGGGGCTGATCTTTTAAATTTTAACAAAAAATATACATTACCATTAATAGTAAATAGACAAGATTAGATTATTGTTAAAGATAGTAAAGTCTAAACTAAAATCTATAATTAATAACCTCACACATCTCACACACAGCTGTCTGATCCCAAACTAGGCAGAGCCTGTACTATGGTAACGAGACTGATGATAAACATATTTATTTCTAAATACATATTATAAATAAATTACACCCAGACACAGAAAAAACGATAGTGCTCATCACACAAATATTTGTCCTGGGTGGGTATCGAACCCACGACCTCCGGTTTAGCAGCCGGGTTCATTAACCACTAGACCAACAGGCCCGGCCAGATGCTTAGTTTACTAAGTTTATACAATTAATACTTCATACTTGGCTCTATTCTGGCAGAGCAATGCATTGATCCTCTCTACTATCCTGTCAAATGCTCTCGCATACAATCCCCTTGCAGTGGCATCTCTAGCAACAGCGGCTTCAGTAGGGGAACTATGTCTTGCAATGGTTTCTCCTCGAGCCACCACACTACTACTTGTAAGGCATTCACGAAGGTCAACTGTTTCCACGCCAAGGAGACACGATGCTGAAAAAATGATTTCCAGATATATTTAAAAAGGACAATAATACCTAAAATAAACGCAACTAAAAGATTTCAGAAATACACGGACTTTTTAAAAATCTCACTAACATTTAAAAGGACTTGATAATGTAATTATTATCATTTTTTTATTTTGTTTGGAATACGAACAACAATACTAACAACGGAGCTATTCACAGGTATTCGCAAATAGATGCTAAGTGTGAAACAACAGTTCAAATAACTTACCAACAACAACAATAAAAATAACACATTAGTTCTAGATATGTAAATATAAAAATACATACTAACATTGATATTTTTTTCAAGACATTCTAGCTGTGTACGTACTAACACGTCTTTTAGCGCGGTTTTGAATTTGGCTACATTCCCAGATTTTGTAGCAAAATTTAGTTTCACGTTCAGTCGATATTTATGATAGAATACAATAAATATCGAGTGTGTTTAAGAATGTTTATTATTTTATTTATGAATGTATGGATGGATTTAAATTTTATTGACTTTTTTCTTTTGATACATATACATTATGTCTGCAACTATGTATTTTAATAAGCTTGATATGTATGTATGCATATGTGACTTACTTACTTGTTACTTTTTTAATCCTAATGAGAAAATAATCATCATTAATGACTAAAAACACGCTTAAATCAATAAGTACAACAATTGTTAACCATTGACAAAAGTCATTTACACTGATTTAGAAAGATCCTTTGTTATTTTAATAAATATTAATTGAATAGAGGTCGAATATCGATCTATAAACTAGATAAGTTATGAAAACCGATGTTAAGCATTCTTGTTAAGCATGATTGTTAAGCGATCTTTCGTTGCCTTTCACTGAGTGAGTGAAGTTAAAGGAGCCAAAATCCCCCGCTCGAGTCAGCGGGAGGGACTCCAAGGGCAGCAACGAACTTGTGACTTTTGATTTGCAGGTGTCCATGGGCGGCGGTAATTACTTACCATCAGGTGACCCGTCTGCTCGTTTGCCCCCTTATACCATAAAAAAATGTAGTTTATTGTACTCTTTAAGACGAACAGTTTTGTTAAATGTTCTGTAAATTACCTCTATGCAACGGTGCGGTGTCGATTATGGTGGCTTTGTTATCCGCATTGTCTTCGCCAGCTGTCTCACCGAATTCAATGTCACCGAGGTGAAGAATTGCGGCCAGCATTTTGTATATAATTTGTACCTCTTCGTCTTCAAAACCCACTACCTGAAAATCATTAGATAAGCTACGCGTATAGCGGTAATTGCCGTGATCATATTTGTTGAACTAATACCTATGGTTTGACCGTATCTATGTAATTATGGAGATATGATAATTGAGTATTACGATATAATAAGATACATAGTCAGTGATGTGACCAATAATATAGGTACATTTTTGTTACTTCTAAATTTCGTGATTTAAATAGCATTATAAGTATATACACATTTATATTTTCATTTTTTTTTTATTTTCTATTTTTCTGGTTAAATTTTTTGTGTTAGTGTGCGTAGACTGTTTGCACGGAATACACATGTAGTTATTACTTTTGTGCGATACCTACTGGGAATGACCTTAACCTTATACTGATTGCATAAAAAGTTTAATTTTCCGACAGAAAATGCCAATGATTTTGGATTCAGAATGATGGTCTGAATACACTCAGACCATCACACATTTCAGTATTCGTTACGACGTCCCTTACACCGTGTATATTCATACAATACATTCCTAATCATCTTAGGTAACGGCTACATAGTTATCAACATAGTAGCAATTAATTGAGTGAGATATATTTTTAGACCAATTTCTTACTTAAAAAATTAAACTTTTTCTTTGTATGAAATACTAAGTCAATAGGAATATCGAGATATAGAGAGAGCTTATTAGCTTTTAGTATAAAATTATAATCAGTATCTACGTTACGCAATCTTATTATATATAGTCTATCTGTATGGTAATAAACACTGTTAATTAAAACACCCGATGACATTTAAAACACAACTCATTTAAGGCCAAACAGGCCAAGGCTTAGTAGTGTAATTTCTTAACTTTAAAAAAAAAAGAAAAATATATTATCATTAAAGTAACCCTGTATTAATATATTATCTTATCTCTTAATCTCAATTTCACTTTACCAAGTCAAAATTATATACTTCATTTATTGTTTGAGTTAGCAATTTATAATGAATGTCCAAGTCCATATTTAGATTCCAAAGCAATGAAATTAAATTTCTTTCTTACGGCCGGTTTGATTATTTTAAATTTCCTGCTTTTTCAAAGCACGAGGCATATTTAACGGCATGCAATGTGACATGTCTCTATCTGACAATCTAACTTTAGAAGATTCTGTGAGGAACATGGTAGGTGTTTTCCAAGTAGAGATTGATGAAATTACCTTAAAAGCCTGATTCAGTTGCCTCCAACGGTGCACGTTGTGTTCCCTGTGTACAACCGACAGCGGCTGCAGATAACGATGCCGTGATTTGAGCTGCTCGTCAAGATAGAACTTTCGCCAACGACCTTCGCTCTCGAGTCCATCGTATAAGTAGTAGAATACGTGAAAATTGCTTTCGCCCCTGGAATAAACTTATGGTGTTACTTACATCGAGGTAAGAGGAATTTGAAGATTATATTGTAAAACAGATTTGTGTTCAGAATGACTTATTTTAGAAAGTCTGGTAATTGTTTGGTTTATCTGGCTTATCTATTATTTGGTTTATATAATTATAAAGAACATCTAGAATCACGAACGACAATTTGTTGATTCCACAAAGTGATGTCCTATGTGGGGATCGAACCCACAACACTCAGCATAGTAGGAAGCGGCGTGGCGACCACTTAAACCTTAAAAGGTAAAATAATTTTTATTAATGGGAATCGCATGCGGTTGCTTATAGTTTGTATCAAGTTTCTATTTATGTTAAAAAAATTAAGAGTTGGAATTGGAATTTCTTTAAATCAAAGTTGCAAAAAGTTTATGTTAATTGAAACATACCTCATACATAAAACAAAATTGGATTAGATTATTAAAAATATTTTAAGTTGTTAAGCAACATTAGGTACTATAGAAGAAACAAAGATTAACGTGGGCTGAGCCGCGTTGCAAAGCTTCTCAAGATATCGATGTATCGAAATGACTATTTTACCGTGCACTTGAATTTTAGAAGCCCATTAGAAATCTCGAACATGGAATTTTTTTAACGATACATGGCATATTCTACACGAGTTTAATCAAGCGGCGACCGGTCGAGTAATCAAGCGGCGAACTCAAAAATCGGTACGAAAGTAGGTTGCTGAATCACTATCTATAAGCATTTACGATACGATACCTTCTATGTCGTTTTACTTTCCATGGTATTGCTCGATATTCTACATTTAACTGGTAGTGGTAGCTTTATATTGAACATGTCAGTGACAACAATTCTATAGTTTTTTTTTTGTATAAATCAATCACTAATTTTGCAAATGCGTTAAAATTTTACATTCTTATATTTTTTTTTAAAGCAAATATGAACTATATAAAAATCATTCGCACATATATAAATGCTAATACTTACAAGGCTTGATGCACAACTCTTGACTGTTCCAGTAAATATACAGATATTCGTGCGCCTGCGATCCGTCCAACTCTCATCATAGACAAATCTAAATATTTGCCGAAACGAGAACTGTTTGCGTTGATGCCAGTACGAGCGTTACCAAATGCCTCCATGATGGGGTTTACTTGAAGAATCTTCTCCTCTAAATTTCGATTTTGAGTCTAAAAATTAAAGTATCCAAATTATAATCATTGCAGGATTGATTTAACTTAAATACCGTTTACCGTGATATTTGATAGAATATTTTATTCGAAAAGTTTTAACTCCGTAAAAGATGAATATAATTTGTAAGTCTTTGTCTTTTTGGGCGTTAGTACTTACCTTCGACAGAAAAACGAGTTGTTTCAATAATAGATTGGCAGATTCCGTTTTCCCAGCCCCACTTTCTCCCGAAATCACAATAGCCTGATGCTGTTTCTGGTGCATCAAAGCCTGATGCGCTGCGTCAGCTACCGCGTAGATGTGTGGTGGGTTGTCTGACCGACAATGGCCCTGATATATCTGTTGAGTCTAGAGGTAAAGATTAATTCTTTGAAGAGCACTGTCAAAAAGCAAGCATAAAGCAAAGAGTTATATTTTGAAGGTAAAGATTTTTCAACGGATTTTCCGTTGTAAAATCTTCACCTTCACAATTTAAAGTACAAGTACCTTAACAGTTTAAAGTGAAGGAGATTGTAAAGATTGTTGGACATTTTTGGATTATCATACCTATAACTTTAAGATATATTCTCTTTGCCAAGCTGTGCCATTAGGCACAACTGTTTGTTAACTAAATATACAATTATGTCCATTTAGTTAACAAACAGTTTTGACACTCTTAATAGAAAACAAGCATCACTGTGCAAAGGACAGATGTATTAGCTATCATTCAGATTCATCTTTTACAAACTGGAGTAAATAATGTTTTAAAAACGACACACCAATTTGTTTCGTATATTTCAAAGTTAAATTACTTCCATTCTACTTAAAGTTTGTGGTTTGTATCAAAGATAGAATAGAACATTCTTTCTTTTAGTTCAAAAAGTCGTATTCTCATAAAATAAAGACGATTGTAAAGTCAATCGTAATAAAATTTACACAAAAGTAGCAACATCTGCTAATGTAGTTTATAATTATAAAACTAAGTCAAAGCAGTTACAAAAATATATAATAACTAGCGGCAAAAATAAACAGCTAGAAAAAATCACCCACTAATTAGTACGTTTTTATAGTATGAAAACAAATGAATAAAACATGTCAGCTAAAAGAGGAAGCATTTAGGTTTTTTGCCAGTTTAGGTTACATACCTTTGCAGTGTAAATCCCTACGTCTGTAAAAGGATTGACAGCAACCAGTATATCACCGATATAGGTATAAATTTGATCTTGGACATATCTTTTTTGTAATTGTTCTACGATTGCATCTTCTGTCAGTACTTCAAGTGTTGCTAAGTCATCAGTGTACATTTTCTCTGGTCGTGCTTTTCGGTGTGATTTGAGTTTACCCCTCTTGGTTGTAGCCTCAGGCGCCCTAGAGCCTCGGCCCTCAGCTCTCTGTCTTTTTATTTCCGCTTGTAACTCTTCACGGATCTGAAAGATGTCATAACAATATAGTAAATACTACAAAAAATAAATTATGTGTGTTTTATTTTTTCAGTTAAACAACTGAAAGAATAAAATGCACTACAGAATTAGACAGAAGAATAAAATACGATGTCTGTCAAAATATATGATGATGTATACATACATTTATACCAAACGAAGAGCCTTTTGATTATGAGGCTAATCGTAGAGCTTAGTAGTCTACAAACCTTAAATTGTAATTAGTATGAGGTAATAATCTAGTTACATCATAAAGGTATATTTTCGTGTTATTTACTTCGCATTTAAACTTAAAAAAAAAAACATTTTTATGTAATGCATAATATATTTTATATAACTATACTTCAACTGATATGCTACACTATCTAATTATACAATTATACAGATGCGTTATATTCATTTATTGTGGTGCGTAAATTTTATATATTCAGGAAAGAACCACAATATTATATAAATTGTATTAATCTCTATTATATTCAAGTAATAAATTTATACTGTGTGTATCAGTCGTCAACTGTGAAAGCATAAAATTATTATTACGTAGTAATTTAGTTCAACATGTCAACTCGTCAAATATTTTAAAACACAATGATAAAGAAATGTGGTCGCTTTTAAGAGCTGCATTTAATAATCTGGCTTTATAAAGAATATATTTTCATTGGATTTTCTAGAATACTACTATATGCTAAAATAGCTAGAAAATTAATCTGTATAATGTACGACTTGATTAGTAAAAAAAATAATATTTTCAGACACCTGACACACAACGCCATCTAGTTTCAAACTAAGCAGAGCTTGTAATATAAAAGTTAGATTGACTGAGAGAATACTTATATACTTTTTTCTGTAAGCCATATCCATATTACACTTAGAATCATACACATCTTTGGTCCGATCTTGAAATCGAACCTGAGATCTCAGCATAGCAGTCGCATACGCTACCACCGCACCACCGAAGAAGTTTGTCATTATGTCTAATATGTGTCGTGTATTAGCTTTATACACAGTTTTGTTTTTGGAGAGACATTAAGAGAGATAAACCGTACTGTTAACAATTTTTTTTATGTACTAACTAACCTTGTCCTCCAAGCTACTAACTGCCAGCAGCAGAGGATGTTCCAAAAGCTCTCTTGCAAATGATCTCTGATTCATATCTTTTACTAAGCAATCTGCAATAAAATCTGAGAGTTGTGACGAAAACATTTCAGGATGTGCCAGAGTTGGGGGTGGATTTCGAGGGATTTGAAAAAGTGCCCTCATAGGATGTAATCCTGATAAAGGTGGTTCTCCTTCTGCCAGTTCTATCGCAGTTATGCCCACCGACCATACGTCACAACGGCAATCATAAGATTCATCCAACTGTTGTTCACACGCTATGACCTGCAAAAAATATAATTATTTTTTATTAAGGTCGCATTACAATAAAAGCGACCTTAACCTGGAATGATGTTGAGATATCTCCTTCAAGGAGTCACTCGTTTGGGGGTTACTAGTATTGTCACACGTTCTTACTTCAGGTGCCATCCAATAAGGTGTCCCGACAGACGTGTTTCTTCTTGCTGCTGTAGCTGCCAAATGTGATGAGACGCCAAAATCAACAAGTTTGACTTCAGCATCTTCTGTTAGAAGTATGTTATGTCCCTTAACGTCGCGATGCATGCACCGATGCGCGTGTAGATGTGTCAAGGCCCGTACGGTACCTCGCAATACGTAAGCCAGTTGTGGTTCGGTGAGATTGTTGCCGTGAGCCCGCATTCCAGCACATAAATCTGTCACTGATCCGCCGGTACAGAGCTGCAAATTGAAAAGTCGAATAATTTTTTGTTGTTTTAATGTAAAAGCACAATATACTAAGTATAGAGAGAATACTAAATTGTACCGACCTCCATGACAAACCATATTTGATCGTCATCTGAGCATACTCCGCGTTTCAAAAACAATCCAAAAAATTCAGGAATATTTGGATGGCTAGATAAATCTCTGAATACCAGGAACTCCTCTTCTATTTCTTCTATATTCTCTGTGATGTTCTCTAATATCTAGAACAAATAAATTGTTGTTTGTTTTTTCTAGTATTGTTTTAACTTAGTACGCGCAAAAACAGACCATTAAACGAGAGGCAACCAAACCATGTATTGTTTAGCGACCTTCACATGAATACACTAGCTTTAAGATAACATCTACATAATCAATTTGCACTCGGTACCTGGCCAACAATGCCTCCATAAAAAATCAACAGCTTACACATTCAAAATATTCTCGCAACATATTTTACACAATGGCCCATGTACAATTTCTATGGAAATTAAAAAAATATATTATTATTTTATTTTTAATTGCCGCCATTATCTGTTTTCCTATTAGACGTTCCTAGTTTGTAAATAACAAGTTAATTATCATAAACTTTGAGTTTAAGAACCACTTACGTTAATAGAAATACCATTAATATTTATAGTGAATTCATAATAAACTAAAGTTGTAGGGCTACTGCGATTGCGATGCCAAGTTTCTCTCAAGTTTCACTCGTAGTTTACGAGTGCATGCCCTGTGTTATTAACCTTAGCCGTGTTCGCACTAAAATAACACGGTTTAATAATACTTAACGCGATATTGTTGTACAAACGATAGCTTTTAAATGACGTCATCTTACTTGTAAAGGTAGATAAGGTGAACAACTTTATTATGAGTAATGCGATACCTAATCAGTGTCATAGTTTGGTGAAAAAAAACCTGTCTACATATAGCGACTAAGGTCAGACTTTGAGTTGCAATTTTGGAATTGGGTTTGGTTTAGATTGTAAGATTATTGTATTACGTTTTCAGGCTGAATTAAATACTCGTAATCACCCTAGATACTAACCTTGACTGCAACCCTTCGACCACTTTTCTTGTCTCTAGCACAATAGACTTCGCCATAGGTGCCTTCACCGATCAGCTCCTGTAGAGTGAATCTATCTCGCGGATCGGCAGCCCGATCAAGCTCCACGTGCCGCGACAGCCCGCGGTATGCGATGTCGCTGCGCATGGTTCAAGTCATTGAAACAGCATCTGTAATTTAGTAAGATTTGCATTTAGTGTTAAATAATAATAATATAACTTGACACATCCTACACATCTGTCTCCATCTAAATCCATATCTATACAAATGAATAAAATTGGAGTGTCTGTTTGTAAAATTAAAATAACCGCTTTTTACTACATGCATATTTATGTTTACACGGTACATATGCCAAAAAACACATTTTTTTCAATTTTTGTCTGTCTGTCTGTCTGTCTGTCTGTTTGTTTGTTGCGGGTAATCTCTGGAACGGCTGGACCGATTTCGACGGGACTTTCACTGGCAGATAGCTGATGACATAAGGAGTAACTTAGGCTACTTTTTTTAGACTAGCTTCGCCCCGCGGCGTTGTCCACGGTTATAACAACAAACGCGGGTAACACCGCGGGTCTCAGCTAGTAATATGTAAATTACAACCAGATACAGAACAAGTGATCGTGATTGATTTGAATCGATCCCGAGTTCTGGCTTAGCAGTAAGGGTCACTAACCACTAGACCATTAGACCCTTCAAATCTATACTATTATAATGATATAACATAATAAATCTGAAGAGTTTGTTTGGTTGAACGCGCTAATCTACGAAACTACTGATTCGATTTCAAAAAGTTGTATGTTGGATAGCCTATTTATCTAGGAAGAGTATAGGCTATGTAACATCACGTTGCGACGAATAGGAGCCGAGCATCAATGAAAAATGTTGCTTAAACGGGGATAATTAATTCCTTTTGAGGTACGCAGACGAATTTGCGCGAGTCAACTGGTGTATATAAGGGACAAATATCGACATACACACATGAAGCGTATTACAAAAGAAGATTTTATAAGTGTTTCTAATGAGCAGAACAAATATTCAGATATAATGTGCAATCATACTTTAGCATGTGATAGTTTTTGTTGAGTTGGTGTATTATCATAACAGCTGATTCAGCATAATGTATACGTAAACTGACATGCAAATAATAATTTAAGATCAGTACAACAGGTTATGCAATGCCATTAAATGAAAACCAATCTTTCTTTCGGTTCTTGATTTCAGTCGACGAAAGTTAGAATGGAAAGCACTCACTCTTTAATGGCTTCTTTAAGACCATGAAAGCGTGCTTTAGAATTGTATTTAAAACAATTTTTTTCGGTATAGTTTCGGTTAGTATATATCCATTGGTCTTAATAAGTAACATTATTTGAATGTAACACTTTTGTGTTATGTAATCCTCATTTTGAACGATAATAGTTCATGTAGTATAAACGAACTATCAATTACAATTCATCATTATTGATAGTCAGGGATAAAGGGAATATTTGTATATCTCGGATTTTAAAGAATTAGCAACGAGGGAGAGAATGTGATAAAGCCTTTTTTTTAAATACTAGAAAGTTAAATAGTCAAATGGAATTATTCAGAAGTTGTAGTTTTCCAAGTTTCATATTTTAACACTAATTTAGTTCATATTTTGTAACATTGATTATTAATACCTAATAAAAGGAAAATGACCGGTACTTTTTGTATTCAACAATTTAATGATTATAAATTTATACATTCAGAGATTTTAGCATCGAGAACTTTCCAAAAAAACCTTTCGTATGCTCATTCTACGCTTATATCTCACGAATCTAAAAATTATTTTACTGCAAATTATCTTGCATATTATTGTACGGGAGAACTTGAGAATACACTTTTTTTTCCGTGCGGATATCCCCTCGGATACCACCATGGTAGCATGTCGGACTCGAACCGACTAAAACCGCACGCCGTCTCGGGTACTAATAGCCGGGGAACCAGGTATACCCTAGAAAGGAAGTCCCTGGTGCAAGTTGAGAATACACTATGTTATATACTAATGATTACGACGCGTCGACTAACACACACTAATAAATATACTTATTTGACTGGATTAAAAATCCTCACCAGAAAAGGTATCGTAAAAGATGTTTAAGAAGTACGCACTCACTGCGTGGACTCTGCAGCAATAAACTTCTATCGATTCATATCACACAATCACAGGCAATATTCATTGAACATCATCGTATTTATTAACAGAATATGAATAGAGCTGCGATAAGAAGAACAGTAATTAGTACGTGAAACGTCCGCAATAAACTAACGGGCTACATCTAAACGAATATATTTACGTAAGTTTATTGATTTCTGATAAACATTAATAATTTTTTTCAATTGTTTTGTATATTATTATGTAAATCATAGATGGCAACTTTCTACATACTTTTTACTTTGGATCGATTCAAAATGCGAGATAGACGTAGAAAGTAAAATGTATATTATTCAGTCAATTTACTATAGCAATGACGGTGACTGAGGTAATGTTATTGTAATGTATTTAAATTCATGATGATTGTACGATGTACACCTGAAAAATTATGCAAAAAATGTCTCATTATCATTGGAATAATAATTATTTGCTTGGTTGCAACTTGAAAACGGTAAAGTATTATATCGCAAACGGGGCCAACTGGCTCACGACCTACCTGGTGCTAAATCATATCGCAGTTATAAATTCTTACAAGATCTGTCACTATGTTCTATGAAACTGTTCTGCTGTACAAAGATAATTCACACTGTTTTAACAGTTGACGAGATTTTTTAACCGACCTTAAAAAGGAAGAGGAAAAATGTTTGAAATTTTGAATTCATGTAAGTGTCGTTTTAAAACATAGTAATGAAATGGGTCGGCTCGATCGGAGTGATATCACGGCCCCACAGAAAGCCGGTGTTAGGGTCGTAGCCAGTAGTACAAAAAAGCAGACAGCACACAGTTAGCCTTATTTTATTGTTACTGTAAAATGCGTCTACAGAGCTCGATATTAAGCTCATATTGAAATGCTCATACTTTGGTTGGGTGGGAGCGCAGTCGTATAAGTCGGCTAGACTTTTAAGCAATTCTTTTGTTGCTTATCAGTTAGTGACACGTCTGCTCGTTTGCCCTCCTATACCATGCAAAAAATAGAATGCCGCTATAACCTTAAAGTGATAGTAACAACGATAGCACGAGACATGACGACGACTCGTAATTTAGTAACTGCTAAGAGTTAACGTTTCACGACTCATTATGTTCAGCAGTTACACTTACAGTAAACCCTTTCTTCACTTTGCTACTTAGAGTTGATTTAATTACATTTTATGCAACCAAACCGTAAATTGCTACCTGGCTAACACGTTAATATTCATACAAATACAGTCGGCACGGGTATCTTATTTATGTGGCGATTAACTAATATACAGTTTAGTAACAAAAAGGCAAAGAAAAACTTAAAAGACAGCTAACACGCGACATTCCAACTGAGTTGTCGCTCACATGTTGCTGACCCTATCCCCTCCAGGATACCTCTTTCTACGCCACACATCAGTTCGTTCGAAGGTTTGTGTCGAGAGTTAAAAACTTGGAATTTTTTTAATTGTGAATTGGAGACGGTCGCTATTAGTTTATATTTTTCTCAAAGTATGAGTGAAGGTAATTCCTAACGTCCGACCCCTAGTATAAAGAAAAATCCTGTCATGCTCTGCTTCTTCTAATATGCTTATAATGTCTCTGTCCGGAAAGAAATGCTTATAAGAATATTAAGAAGGAATAATTTAGGAATGGTGTTATTGGAATTAAAGCACGAGCGCTCGTAGTTTATCGGCGTTTGTTTTTAAATCAAAACAAAAGCAAAACTGTAGTTTCATAAATTTGATCCAAATCGTTTGAGCCGTTTCAAAAATACACGACGCGCACATTAAGTATGTGCATATACGTACACTCACAAGAATTTCTTGTTTAAAGTTACTAGGTTTATGTAAAGAGGAGAGGTAACTTTTGATCGAGCCAAGTCCTCATTTTCACAAAAGCGTTTTTGGTCGACGTTGCATCTTTTAAGTCACTATAAATATCATAGTAGTAATTTTACGTATAAAGGTGTTATGTGCCTAAAATGTTTTTTTTTGTATCGTATATGCCGCGCCGAATAAGGTTAATCCGAGAAAGGAATGAAATTAATTTAATATACCGTTGCATGTACCGTCGCATGTTTATGTTACGGATAGACAATGTGAGTACGTTTTTAACGATGAATTAACACAATAATCATACGGTTCTAGCGGTTTCTACAAAATGTACAGCCACAACAAACCAGTCGCTTTCCTTAAAGCAATTTGTGATTTACATGGATTTATTATTTATTGAAGTAGTTTCTCAGAATTTAAATACTAATACCTACCTACAATAAAGATTGCGTATAAGAAGTCTCCCTGAGCGAAAATCGTGACGATTGATGTTTGTCTTATTACTGCAAAGGTGAACAACAAAAAGAAATAAACAAGAATAATTCAAGTATTAACTTAAGTGAAGACACGGGAAAAGTTAGCTGCGTATCATATTTGAGTAATGACTGTATTGGCTGTGCGAGAGCCCACAATAAACTTTTATGAAATCGCTATGCAAAATATTTGGTAAAGTCAAAGTGCACCATTCGTTGTAAATCCGAGCTATATGCCGGATATCCGGGATATACGGTTCACACAAAAATCAGTGCGAGAAGCGATCTTTTCCCTCGACATTCATAAATCATGTGGGCCCGATGGAATCTCTCCTATCGTGTTGAAGACGTGTGTTTCGGAGTTGGCACCGGTTCTAACGCGCCTTTTTCGTCTCTCCTACTCTAAGGACCCGATCCCTAAAAAGATGACCGCTGACCCGTCCAACTACAGGCCAATAGCCATAAGTCCTTAGTTCTCTAAGATTATGGAATCCATAATAAACTACCAGCTCCTCCGGTACTTGGATGATCACCAGCTACTCAATGACCGACAATATGGTTTTCGGCGGGGTCGCTTAGCTGGTGATCTTCTCGTCTTACTTACACACCGGTAGGCACAGGCGATTGAGACTAAAGGAGAGGTTAGTTTGGACATAGCGAAGGCCTTCGATCGGGTCTTTCATAAAGCGCTTCCCTCGAAGCTCCCTTTCTTTG